TCTAAGACATGCTGGGATTCAATCGTTACAGGCACAATAACGATTAATCATTAATCATTGTTCTACAGTCAAACCCCACTGTCCCACATTGTCGATCATTAACGTTTAACACTAAACTGTCAAAAGCCGACCAAGCACCGGGTAGGGAGCGAAATTGGACAGGTCAAACGGATTATATTAAGGAAATATTCATAATAACTAAATGCAGAACTGCTAGACGGTGAGCGATAGCCTTTCCGACCCGCTCCAATCAAAACTTTGTTCTTAGTGACAGATAGCAGATCTAATCTATTTCGTCATGCTTTCGTTAGAGCCAACTAGTCACTACTGCCTCTGAATCCTTGCATCTTGATTTGCAGTCGAATCACCAGAAAAGATGAAAAATACATAGTCATCCTGCGGAGTACGGTTATTATAGCCATGCAGATTGGATGAAGTAAGGATGCCGACTAGGGTAATATGAGAGTGCTTGAAATCGATCAGCTCTTCAGCGATGATGCAGCAGGGATAGGAAAAATGGAGCGATCAAAAACGTGCGTGCAACGCGAGGGAAAATTAGTTAGTATTATACCGTCGTAATATGACAGAAATAAACCAGTCCGCTTGTGATATAACAAGAAGCAAACCGGATGACCACATAAAATGATATTCAAACCAAGGTTCAACTCAGAAATATGTCTCTTAAGCTGGATCACATAGCTCAAAAACACCGTTGAGCTGTACATATTTTTTATACATAAAAATAAAACCCGATATCATGGGTTTACTAACATATTGCTAGTTATCGTTACCGCCGCTAAAGTATTTAATCCTTTTTAGATTTCGATACCGGACTGAAACGGCGTAAGCACCGTCCCTTTGCTTTAGTGGCCTAGGGTACCATTTAAGCTGGCCACGGCTCTATGGTATTTGAGCGCCTGCAGTGCACGGATGCAAAACCGCATCATTACGTAGGGCTGAACAAGAGCCTGTTGGTACACTTGCAAATATGTCACGATCCGTAGGCCTATGTAATAATCATCATTATCTTCGTTGACCGCTTCTCCTTTGGGGTCGCGGAGACAAACGCTTCAGACAATGCTCCTAACGTTTCCGATTCTCTTCCAAAGTCTGAGCTTTAGAAGAAGATACAGAAGTCTGGAGCAGCATCCTTTCTATATTTGCTCCAGGTTAATTTTGGCCGTCCCCTGGGCTTCTGCAGGTCGGTTTCGCAAGGAACAGTTGCTTAGCATTCCTTTCTAGAGGCATTCACAACACGTGTTCAAACCACGATCCGTAGGCCTATTCATACAGAAAAATAAAATCCGATCTTTTTGGATTACTAGCATACTGCTA